CACCACCTTAGTGACGCTTGCTGTGACTTCAGGCTCCCTCATACAACAGCTGACATGAAGCAGACTTAGCTGGCTTCACCTGAGCCACGTCACTCAAAAGCTTTCCATCCGATGGCCTGCTGTCAGAGTTGGGGAGGCATGGGGTCCACTGGAGAAACTGCCCATGTGACAGGCGAGGAAGCCAAGGTCCAGAAGGATGGAGAGCTTTGACCAAGGCACCTATTCAATTAGTGGGAGAACCAGGACCTTCGTCTCCTGCTTTCCAGCCTGGTGGCTTTCTTGCTATGCCTTGTGCCTGCATGTTGCCCAGAGGGATCATAGCAAACTGGCATCTGGACGTCCAACAGGGTTGTTCCCGCCTCCCCTGCCCTGCTGAGCTCAGGCGGAGGAGTCTTGGATGCTTCTCCCCTGGGCCTGTACATTTCTCTCCTGTTCTGTCTCCAAAGGGAGGTGGGGACCCACTCGGAACTGGAGGAGTGAAGTGCTCCAGGGGTGTTGGTATTTAATTCCCATCAAGAAAAAGATAGCCATAAAGAACATCACTGGGGCAGCTGACAGAAACTGAATGTAGACCATGGATTGATTAGATAACAGCATTGGTTCAGTGTCAGATTTCCTCACTTCAATAACTGCATTGTGGCTATGTTCTTAGGAGACACACAAGGAGCCAGAAGTCAAGGGCATGATGTCGCCAATTTGGTCTAAATTGGTTAGGTATCTACCTAAACAAATAAATGAATGAATGAATATATACCTAGAAAATGATAAAATAATGGAGCAAATGAAAATAGGTGGTGACTCTAAATAAAGAGTATACAAGAGTTTCTTGAACTATTCTTGCAACTTTTCTATAAATTTGAAATTATATCAAAATCAGTTTTAAAAAGACAATCCCATTGAGAGGCATGCAGCACACACCTGGACAGGTCTGGAGATTGGGGGAAGTGTGCCAGTTGCTGCTGCCCTTCTCCCTCAGCTGTGATGGCACTCAGACCTCTGCTAGCCCTACCAAGCCAGTCCTCTGCCTCCTCCTGCTGCCACTTATGGGCTGGGGGCACTCTGCCCAGCCTTGTGTGGATGGCACAAAGAATGGCCCTGAGACTATGGCAAGGCACAGGGGCTTGTGGCAGGAACACAGAAGGTTGGCATCACAGTTCCACACCTTACTAGCTGTGAGACCTGGGCAGGACAATTTCATTCTCTACAGCTCAGTTTTGCTCATCTGTAAAGTGGGAACAACTACCTGTAGCACCACGGAGATCCAGCTGAAGTGACATAGATCGAGGTACTGGTAAACTCTGATCCTGAGTCAGACACCCTCTAGCATCTGTGGGGTTTCCCTGCCAAACCCCTGGTGGCCTCCCCTGCCCCTCCAATGTCATCATTCCTCTTCAGTGAAACCACATCAACTGCATTCCTCTTCTCCATAACCTAGCCCAGAGCTTTCCTCACCCCGACATCTTCCCAAACTACCCGAGCTTCTTCCTATGCTTATGAGCCGGTGTCTGGCCGATTAACTTGTGCTTCTGACAGTTTCTCTCATCCTGTCCCTTGCTTGGGTTGGGGCAGATGGATTTGGCTTTCCCTCGTGCTCCTCAGTGCTCAGCCCAACCACTGACAGCTCGCTCAGAGGACTGGACACTCAACCTGGGGGGTGTGCAGATGGGGTCTGGCCACCGTTGGTTAGATGAGAAAATCATTGCACCTTCCCCCAGGAAATGTGGATTTCCCCCTTAAATTAGGAACTTCTTAGTCCCTGGCAAAAATGAACACATACACAGCCAGAACACTCATGGAATCGGAGGTCTCTGGGTCTGGGGACAGCAGTACTAACAGAAAAAGGCAAGTTGCAGGGGCATATACACCGCTGATCCCATCTCTGTGGGGAGAAAAACCCAACTGATGTATTTGTGCATATATACACACACACACATATAAATGCACAGAAAAAAGTAACAAGGTGAATATATTTGGGAGAGGGTGAGTGGAAGTGGGGGGTAGATGAAAGAAGACTTTCACACTGTACTTGGTGTATTTCCATACTGCTTAAAATGCTTACATAAGAATGTGTTCATGTATTTATGTAATAAACAATAAAAATTATCCCCAAAAGGGAGAAAAGAACTGGGGTGCAGACCTAAAAGCCCCTTCATTTCCCATCTCTGGGCAGCCACCTTCTCAGGAGGCCCCAGGAACAAAGCCCTGTGGTGTCCCTCCGGCACCCAGGCTGCAGCCTTCCGAAGGACAAGCACACAGGTGCGTGAGCAGGTGGAGGCATCCAGAACTACCTGCTACTGCTCTCAGTGCCGGGTGACAGGCTTGGGGTGAGGGGCCGGGTGGATGGGCAGGCAAAGGAATGCCAAGTGGCCATTACTGCACATGGAGACACCCTCATCTCCTTGGGGGAAGATGTCTGTACCTCTAACGCACAGGCTTTCTATACAGAGTGACGTCCCCTCGTGCAGGCCGGCAGTGCCTGCTGGAGTTAATCCAGGCATGAACTTGGTGTGTGTTTTCTGCAGAGACGAAGCCCTTCTGCCAGCCCTGCTCCTGCCGGCTTAACGCTGACTGACCCCCCTTAGCCCCTGTAACTGCTTGCAGCCTCCACACGACAGGGAGCTGATGCTGCTGGTGTGAGGGGCGCCCAGGTGGCTCCACATTTAGCACAGGCAGTAGGGGAGCCCCCTTCTGGGCGGGGCACCGGGCTTCTCCCTGGAACAGCTGGTGCCTAGCGTGACTGCACACGGGAGCGACCTGGGAACTTAAACAAACACTGAAGTCTGGCTCCCACCCTGAGATTCCGATTTAATTAGTCTGGGGTGCAGCCCAGGCAGTGCAGCAGTTTAAAAGCTCCCCAGGTGAATCTAGTATCTAGCCAAGGGTGCAAGGCACTGCTCCAGCGCCTGACGATGACAACTTGCTGGGAGTTCTCCACAGCCTGGGAGAGAGCCCAGCTCCTGCTCTGCTCACTGTCGGAGCTTGTTTTTCTCCTGCACAGCGCTGCTCTGACCCCACCTCACCTCCTTCAGGATCTCCCTAGAGTGGATGTGCGGGGGCCGAGGGCTGCTAACTTCTAGCCAGCACCTACACTGCTACTTCTGTCCCCAGGGCTGGGGGACAGCCATGTCATCCCGCAAATTCACAATCACTGGTGCTCTCCCTACATCCTACGTCTCTTCCACTCACGTTTTCCTGTAACGACTATAGCATGGGCCCAAGGAATACTCTTGGCAAATAAAATTATTAACCCATTCTTACCAGGCTTTTCTTAGAATTATTCATACATTTTCAACAATTTATTAAACATCCACTCTTAATAATCTGAGGCTCCTCACTTTGATTAAATATCCATGAGAAATCATAATTCCAATCTGGCTGCCCCAACACACTGAGGGCTGAGTATCTCTGGCAGCCTGGCTGGGGTATGTTCAAGGAACCCAAGTTCGTCAGGAGGAAGGTAAATAAGTTGTTTTCAAATGAGATGGAAAGAAAGAAAAGAATAAAACCAAGTCACAAAACACTGCTTTGTAATGGAAAAAGTGAAGCAGTCTTTGAATTAATCGGGCTCAATTACTTCAATTACTTTCCTCCATTAGCGTGGGTAATTAGGAGCTTGCCTTTTGTTTGTTTTAAAACATAGAGTGGTTGGGCAGTCCAACCCTCTGTTAAAACCGGAGGTTTCAAAGGATATTTCTGCTGACAAAATTGGACAAAAAAATCACATGGGAAGCCAGGGCTGCATTAGGACTTTTGGGGACTCTATGCACTTCTGCCTTCATGGGCTGCTTCTGCCATCAAAAAATATATAAATAAATAATATGTATTTAATTATATTACATGTCATATGTAATACATATTTTAATTATATAAATTTTACTTTTCAACTGCATTGGTATAAAGATGACTATATCAATATTATGAATTAACACATTGTCTTCGACCTAAAAGTTCACCTTTTCCTTCTGGTTTTATAAGATAGCACATCTGGCAGGCCTGTGAAAGCACTGTGGACCACGCCGAGTGGGTAGGTGGGCTCTGGGAGAAGCTGAGATCCCAGAAGAGGGGACAGCTGTCTATGGTCACAGAGAAGCTCCTTCCTCCCTTGGCTGTTTGTGCCACACTGCACTGTGATTCTGAGACACCAGAAAGAGCCTTCCATGAACGACAGGGTGCGGCCCGTGTCATTCTGAAGGAAACCGCTTGAGCAGGCCCTGCCTGGGCCCTCAGGGAACACACAGTGGCGGAGGGAGGATAAGACCCAGGCACACCACCCTGGCGCTGGGAAGAAGACCGTCACAGAGAGGAGGTGCTGGCACTACGGGGGCTCACAGGAGGGACAGTTACTCGGAGCTGAGGTGGGAAGAACTCAGGGATGAGGGCTTTTCCCTGGGAGCGTGCTATAAAGGTGTCCCACGAGACAGGTGCCGCAGCAGAGGCACGAAAGAAGGAGCAGGGGGCGTCCAGTGCAGGGAAGAGCTCAGCATGGCCTGAGTGTAAGACAGGAGCAGAGGAGCTGGGTATAGCACCGGGAGAGGCCACACGGGCCGCATGTGCACATGTGAGGAGGTGTGTCCCATGCACTGACATGCAGAGTGTCACTGACATGGGATTTGTGGGCTCTGGCGGCCGCTGCACATTTCAACCAGGAGTGAGAAGATCGGAGCTACGATTAGAAAGGTCCCCCTTGCAGGGCAGAGTCAGCTGGAGAGAGATTAGCAGATGCACTCACAGGGGTCTTGGTGAGAAGTTGAAGGGCTGTGAGGCTGAGGGGCACATGGGTAGGAGGAGAAACGAGAGCCATGCAATGCCACCCTGGCTGCAGGCAGGCTGGGGAGAGGAAGGCGGGTGAGAAAAGTCCACTAGCTCTGTCATTGAGAGCTCTCTGGGAGCCTCGGGGTCCAGGCAGAAGCCAGACTTCCATGAGCGCAGGCAAGAGCGAGGGACCAGGCCGCAGGGCTGTGAGGCCCGCCTCTGCCTGGCGAAGCCGAGCGAGTACTCACTCTCTGTTCCTAGCACGGGAGGAAGAGAGCTCTTGGGCCTCCGGGATTTCATCTCCGGGGCCTTGGTGTTCTCACTGGCCGGAGCATCTGGAACAAAGCAGGTAACAACAGCTTTAGTCAGCAGCTGCTAAGGAAAAGAGCAGGGGAAGCATCTCAGTCAAAACCCCACCTCAACCAAAATCATAACCGAGCCCCTACCCGGCCCCACTCTGAGGGTCTCCCTGCCTGCTGAGCAGAACAGCGCCTGCAGCTGCGCACCTCCCCCACCCTCCATGAGCACACCAAAGAAAAACAGTCTGCTCCCCTGGGCCTGATAAATCAGGTGGAGACAGGTGACCCCGGAGCTAGTGATACCCCTCTGCAGCAGCACATGCAGCCAGACAAGACATGGGCAGGGCGGGGCAGAGTCACTCCTCTACGCCCCTCTCCCAGCTCTCTCCTTCTTCAGGCCTGACTCACTGGCTGAATGTTCGGGGTATCCACAGGCTGTTTCTGGTACAGAGGAGGGAGGGGATGGGGTCCCCACCAATGGGCTCAGCGTCTAGGGGAGGCTTGCAGCCTCTGACTTCTTGGACTTCCTTCTACAGACCAAACTTTGCCCCGACAGACGGAACGAAGGCCTCTGAGCAGGCAGCCATGCGCCTTACCCCTCTGAGACCGAGTCTAGGACCCATGTTGGAGTTTATGCTTCCCCTTCCGCAGAGCAGGCCTGGGGAAACCCTGCTGCAGCCGCATGCTGGGCCGATCTGAAAATGCTGGGCAGGTGAGTGCATGGCCTGGAGGTTGAGCGGGGCCCTTGGTCTCCACTCACACTCCTTCTGAGCACTAATGCAAAGTGCAGATAATGCCAGAGGAAACCTTCCCTTGTTGGGGCAGCAGGGAACTGTCACTCTGGGCTGGGCGGGGTGGAAGAGGCCCTTGTAGAGCCCCCAGGAGACTGGACTTTAAGAAGCTGCAGGGAAACCACCCAGCGACTAGGGGGTAAGGAGGAGCTGGCTGAACAGCTACCACTAGGCCCCAGCATGGTCACCAGGCTTCCTTTCCCTCTGAAGGAATGCTCTTTGGGGACAGTAGTAGGAGGGAGCTCCCCCCCCCCAGCTCCCTTCCTGTCCATCCTTTTCCTGCTCCCTGAGAGGAAGCTCAGAGGTGGGGAGGAGGGGAGGGACTTTCCAGCAGAGGCAGCTCTGGCCACATTCCTGTGGCTTGGCTGAGGGGGAAGGGCCACCTCACTGTCCCTGCCTCCAGGATGGGGACATCCTGGCTAATCATGCCTAGACTGGGGCTGTGAGGGGTGGGCACAGGGAGTACAGAACGGAATGGCTGGGGACATATTCACGTGGACTCCTCTCCTAGTGGCATTGGGTTCCCTGCCTGCTGCAGAACATGGCTATGCCCACATCAGTCCCTCCACGCATCTTCTCTGAGGCCCGAGCACCAGGCAGGCCTCCTCCCAACCCGCCTGCCCACTCCCCAGGAGCCGGGTAATCCAGGGACTGAGAGGCTCATGGCAGCTCAGAGACAGGCCTGGAGGACGTGGGGGTCAATCTCCCCACCAAAGACAGAAGACACCACCGAGGGCACAAGGCTGAAGAAACCCTTTTACGCAGCTCTTGATAACCCAGCCCTCCCATGCCTCCACCCCTACATCGAGTTCCCCAATTCCCAACACCTCCCCTAAGGGCAAAGGAGCCCCGTGCTGAGTGAGGGGTCCCCACCATCCAGTGTGACACTGCCAAGCTCCTCAGGGGACTGCCCACACCCTAGAGCACCAGTTTCGTGTGGACGCGGATGGGAGAGCAGAAAGCCCCGTGGGGGAGATGATTTCATTCTCTTACATGGGATGTTTTCCCCATGGATCGCGGTCACGCTCAGCCACAGAAAGGCCCTCTGTACATACTTATTTGTCAGCTTCAGTGGTTCTCAGCCTTAGCCATACATTAGAAGCACCGGCACTGGGGTGTCTCACCCCCAGCTCTTAGTCTAATAGGTCGGGGTTGGGGTTGCGCAGCAATATTACCCAGAAGCCCCAGAGATGTTCTCATGTGCTGCCCGCCGAACGCCCAGCCTCTCCTCAAGCCATGTGACAGCACATGTGCAAGATGGCGGTGCAGGAGCAGGCGGGGCTGGGGCCAGTCCAAGAGACAAGGAAACCTGGCAATCCTTCCCTTTGACATTTGGGGGTCAGGGTGCCATACACCAGGGCAAGGGGCCAGCATCAGCCTCCCTTGTCCTGGGCCTTGCCTTCTTTCAAGATCAGCATTTTTTTTTTTTTTTTTTTTTTGAGACAGAGTCTCGCTTGTTGCTCCAGGCTAGAGTGAGTGCCGTGGCGTCAGCCTAGCTCACAGCAACCTCAAACTCCTGGGCTAAAGCAATCCTCCTGCCTCAGCCTCCTGATAGCTGGACTACAGGCCATGTGCCACCATGCCGGCTTATTTTTGTATATATGTTTTAGTGGCCAATTAATTTCTTTCAATTTGTAGTAGAGACGGGGTCTTGCTCTTGTCTCAGGCTGGTTTGAACTCCTGACCTCGAGCAATCCGCCCGCCTCGGCCTCCCAGAGTGCTAGGATTACAGGCGTGAGCCACCATGCCTGGTCTTTGTTTTTTTTTTTTTTTTTTTTTTGAGATAGGGTCTTGCTTTGTCACCTGGGCTAGAGTGCAGTGGCATCATTGTAGTTCACAGCAATGTCAGACACCTGGGCTCTAGCAATCGTCCTGCCTCAGCCTCCCGAGTACCTGGGACTGCATGCCTGCACTACCACAACTGGCTAATTTTTTTCTGTTTTTTTTTTTTTTTTGTAGAGCTAGGATCTCACTCTTGCTTAGGCTGGTCTTAAACTCCTGGCCTCAAGTGATCCTTCTGCCTCAGCCTCCCAAAGTGGTAGGCCTACAGGCATGAACCACTGCACCTGGCCAAGGCCAGTACTTCTAACAGTCACTGATGACAATTTAAAGAAAGGTGCACCCAAAACAGTTTTTGTTTCTTTGGGCCTTTCTGAGGAAGAGGAGTAGAGGGCAGAGCATGTCCATAGTTCCGCATCCCTGGGCTTCAGCACTCTCCCCCTCGGTGAGTCCCCGAACGTAGAGCAGGGCTTTTTTTAACTGATAGGTAAACTTAGATACAAGCAAGCAAAGGATGAGAGGCCCAGGTTTCCAGGGTTCCAGAAAGAAGGGCATCAGGGACTGAGATGCCCTCTCTGCACGTGGGGTTATGTTGGGCTTTACTTCCAAGCATCACAGCAGGGAATGAGAGCGCTCTAGGTTTGGCTGTGTCATCAGCAATCTTGGGAACTCACGCAAATAACTCAAGGTGCCCTATGTTTGTGTTTCCACATTTGTACTAAGGGAATGACTCCTGTTTTCTCTGCCCCACAGTGTTCGGAGGCTCAGAGGAGAGAATGCCTACAGCAGTGCTTTGGAAAGCAGAAAATGGTCATTTCCCTTTGAATTCACTTCTCCTGTTACCCATGTCCCCTTGCCTCCTGAATTGGTTCTGACACTGTCCACCTTCAGAAGGCCCCGAGGACAGCCCCTCCTGGCTCTGCATCTGTGCGGGGCTCCGGGGCACTGGGTTCTCCCTGGCGGTGCCAGCAGAGCCAGTCCACTGATGGGCCCTGAGCCTTGCTGTCAGAAGTTCCCTCCTACCTTATCTTTCCATCTGGCCCTGAGGAAAGGGGCTCAAGTTTCCCTTTCAAACCAGGCACACCCCAGACGTGGAGCCCCACAGGACAGCCCCGCCCCCCTAGAGAGCCAGAGCTGGGGGCGGGGGCTGGGCACGCACCAGGGGCTGGCGGAGGATGCTGAGCCACTAGACCTCCGTGAGAACTGCAGCAAGGAGGGGGCTGGGAGGGCCCCGTGCACTTAATCAAAAGCAGCTTTGTGCTCACATGGCTGGCCAGGGGATAAAAATAATAGTAATATAAGTTTAAGAGCAGCTTGTATTTTCTGTCTATTTTAATCATTCTGTGATGAAATTGAACTCCATTTCTAGATCTGTGCTCCAGGGCTAAAGTCCTTTGCTGGCCTGGCTGTGCCCCTAAAGAAGCGTGGGGGAGGAAGATGGAGGTGTGGGGAAGTGGGGGGCCTCCACAGAGAGAGGAAAACTTGTCCTTATATGGACAGAGCCTCACCCCTTCCACTCCTGGGCTAGCTCTGGACTCAAGCCCTCAGGCAGAATTTTTTTTTGTCTCCCCAAGAGGTTGGTTCCCTGAGCTCTGGCCAGAGGCAGGGGGAATGAGGTCTTGGGAAGCCTCTGGGAGGGGGTCCAACTTCTAAGAGTGCCAGGAGGGGGCAGGCAGCAGGGCTGGATGGCCCATTCCACCCTTCCCCAGGATGGCCCATTCCTCCCAGCTGTCCTCTGCCTGAGAATAGAAGCACGCCAGCACAGAAAGGAGACAGATTTCTAGTTAGGAGCCTTCAGCTCCTTTCTGTCTCCTATGACGGGGACACTCTGAGTCTGACCTTCCCCGCCAGGAAAGCGGGAGCAGCAACACCTCAATAGAAGAGTGTAGGAGACGCAAAAGAGTCGTAAGTGATGGCTGACTGTGCCAAGTGCTTCAGATGCTCCCAAACCACGTGCCAGTACTTAAGTGTTTCTGACCTACAAAAACAGCAATTTTATTTAGTTCAACCTAATGCCCATTAGCTACCTGTGACAATTTAGACAACAGATGTGACTTAGGAGTATAGCAGGACAAAGGCTACCCAAACAAAGGTGGGAGAGACGAGCTCATTGGCAACCAGAGGGCCCAGTGGCCATGGTGGCCGTGGGTCCTGCTAGTTAGGGCCACCTCCAGCAGGTGACTCAGCCTCTGGATGCCACAGATGAGGCTGTTGTTACAATGAAGCCCCCGAAGCCCTCTGGTCAAGGGACCAATGACCTCCACGTTGCCGCAGCTCAGGCTCTTCTTCACTGTGCAGCAGCACTTGGTGCCTGGGCTACACTATTTGGCTTATCGAAGTTCTCACCACTGGGCTTCTGGATCCCACCCCCAGCCTCACCCCGCCCCTGATTTCCTCTCTCCTCACTGTGGCCATTGCTTCTCAGGCTCCTTTGCAGACCCCCATCCCGCCCTGCCCCTCTACGCTGGACTCTGCCTCCCCCTCTTCCCATCTCCACCATGTACACCCTCAGGGGCCCACTCAACCCCAGGATGTCACATGGCCTCTGTATGTGGATGGCTCCCAAATCCCATCTCCAGCCTTGACCTCCCTCCTCAACTCCAGATTTATCTCAATATCTGCCCCTGTGACACGCCCACGTGGGTGTCAAATGGGCACCTTCGACTTCACTGCAGGAGCTCCTGACTGTCCCCCCGCCCCTGCGTTCTGATCTCAGTTGCTGGTGTCTCCCAGATGAAAACTAAGAGTCACCTCTGACATCGCTCTCCCCATATCCAATTCATCAGCAAATCCCACCAGCTCTACATCAAAATAGACTATTAATCTCGCTCCCTCTCTCTTCCCCTGAATCTAAGCTGCCTTCGTCTCATGCCTGGGCTATGGCAGCAACCTCCCACCATTCTCCCTTTTACCCATCCTGAGTCTGCACCCAGCCCAGACTTATCTGAATGCCTGTCTAAGCAACATGCCCGCTTGGGGGGTAAATGGGCATTTTAAACTTCCACACGGACACCTGAGTGATCCTTTACAGATGTCCAGTGCTGTCCCATCAAACTTAGAATAAAATTAGGTTTCTTTGTCACTACCAGCACTGCTCAGACCTGGTCCGTGTCCTCCTCAGCCTCGTTTCCCACCTCCCTGGTCTTCCTCATCTTGAAATGCCTCTACCATGTCTCATCAGCTCAGGGCTGTGCTCTCGCTGCCACCTCTCCCCTCTGCCTTCCCTCACTGCTCTTAGGTCTGTGTTCAAATGTCCCTTCATCAGAGAGGCCTCAGCACCTCTCCTACAGCAGCATTCCTTCCCCTGGCACCCTGCACTGCTCTCTTCACATCACGTGACATTCCCTGTGACATGCTATCCATCTGTATTATTGCCTCCCCGCACTAGAATGTAAAGTCCCCAGAGCAGGAACTTTTCCTATTGTGTTTACTGCTTTTAACATAGCCCCTAGAGCAGTGCCTTGGCACAGAGTGGGCACTGAAATATTTGCAGAACAAATGAGTGATGGCCTGAGCACCCACTGGAATGTCCCCTCCTACCACAAGCATGCACAACCCCCCATGGTCACAAAGCCCTGACCTCAGTAGTCACTAAGGCTGGGTGCGTCAGCCAGGGTGGCAGTGGAGGGGAGGCCAGGGCAGGGAAGGGCTGGACAGGCCAGGGAGGGACTAAGGTGCCTTCTGACTCCTATGATAGGATTCTGCCCTACGAAGGGCTTTTGTCCCTAGCCTCTCATCTGGGTCTGAAAGAGAGGAAATGGGTTATGCAGTCCCACATGCAGGGAGGGCTGTTGCTAAGGGAGATCTGGATGGGTCGGAGAAGAGCCCTGCGGGGTAACTGCACAGGGAGGCTGAGCCAGCCTTGGAAAGGCGCAGGCTTCAGAGCCAGACACACCTGAGTCCTGCCAGGGTAATTCACGCCCTATTTATCATGCAGGGTGGGGCTCCGACTACTGCCTACTGTCTGTGTGACCTGGGAAGTCCATTGACCCTCTCTGAGCCTTGGTTTGCTTATTGAGAAAGACACCCTGCCCGACTGTTGCATAAACTAAATATGCAAATGCATGAGAGTCTCTGCCCATGGCAAGCATTAAAGGTCAGCTTCTCCTCCTCCTGGGCAAGTTTTTCTGGCACGTTCTTACTCATTCTAGGTTTCAGCTCCCTTCAGTGTGGCACAAGTTGACACTTGCCTTCTGCTGAGTTTAGAAAGAAGGGTGGCATGATCATAATCATAAAAGTGCACAAAATGCCTTTTCTTAGGAAAAAGACCCAAACAGCGTGATTAAAACAGTGAGATATGCTGTGCCATAAAGGTGACCTTCCTTATCTTTACTATGAGGGCAACGGTGGTGTGGCTGACACGGAACAGCCAATGAGCCCTCTTTGCCTCATTTTTATGAGGCCTTAAAGTGTATCAGCATGTTGGCCTCAATAGTGCTTGGGACAGGCTGAGTGAGTGAGAGAGAGGGACGTTCGGGGCCGGGCCAGCCCAGTCAAGGGGCAGGGAAGCCTGCCTGCAGTAGCATCAGCTGCGGCCCCCACGCCCAGCGAAGGACCTCGCCGCCTCATCAGAGGTCAGGCAGGCAGCTGCAGATGAAAGAGACCGGAAGACCCCACATGATGCCTGGCCTGGAAAATTCAGTCATGGTTACTCTTTAGGGCCACAGGTTGCTCCATGTATTTTCATTCATGACTCCTTTTGAGAATTTGGTTAAAAACTATGGACCACTCTCTTCCGAAAGATGCTCCAAGCCCTGCCTCCAACACACACACATAATTTTGCCTATACTTGCAAAAAATGCACGGACTCATCAGGCTCTCCAAGTCAAATACTATGCCTTGGGGATTAGGAGGACATGAGGGGCTGAGGGGACAGAGTGAAGTCAGAGAGCTGACCCGGCTGGGCAGAGCACCAGCCGAAATGAGGCGAAAGGTGCAGAATGGTGGTGGTGGGGAGCAGTCAAGGAGGCCCCAGTTCCTCATTGTTTGCCTAGATGTGGCTCTTAATGGAAAACTAGAGCTGCACTGGGCCGGAAATCCATCCGACACACAGGACACTAACATCTCCAGGTATAGCCACAGGGAAAAGAGTGCAGGAGGGAAGGGGCTGCTGCGCTTTTTCTCCCTGAGAACCAAACCACACAAAGCCCAGTGGACAGAGAGGCAGCCTGTTATCTCAGCTGGGTTCCCTCCTGCCACTTTTCTAGCTCTTCTTCCAAGACCCAGCTCCCAGTTTGCAGCCAGAGGCCAAAGCTTGCCTTTGAAGGAGCTGGAGATAAATAATGATGGTCACCAAGATTAGTGGAGAGAGCAAGGGAATGTTCCAGCAGACCTCTGGGCAAACAAAGCCCCTTAAGTTGCAGAATGAATTCCCTAAACTTAAAAAAAAAAAAAGAATTCCCAAATGTATCCTGTAGGGGAAAAGGAAATTTTATCTTGAAAACAAATCTGGAAAAGGTGCTGACACTTTACAGATAAGGAGAATGAATTGCTCTCCTGCCTTCTGCTGGCCATGTAAACAGACCTACGGAGGCTGGGGGTTCTGAAAAAAGATAAACTAATTAACTGGCTGCACTGCCCTAAGTGTGAGTCCCAAGGGAGGAGAGGCGCTGTTAGAAATAGCCTTCCAGGCCAAGTTTCCAGAAATGCTATTTTTTTAAACTGTAGCACCTGTATAGAAAGAGGCGGGACTCTGAGCTGGGCAGGTGACAGCCCAGGTGAGGAGAGACCCCCACACGAAGTAATCAGCAGTAGGAGCCCCAGCCCAGAGCTTTGAAACCTGCATCACGGTCCCCCTCTGAACTGATAAAAACTTGGGTCCATTAGATCTGCTTCCTCAGACTCAGAGCCCCTGTGGCTAGTACATTCACAGAACTCCAGGGAGACGCACACAATATTAGATGATTTCAGCTTCATTTTTGGCTACTAGCAATTTAATTTGTGTTGCCAATGTGTGTTTTTCTAAAGGACTTTTTAAGACTTCCCCCTCTCTCCCATTCATTATGTGCCATAGATCCCAGCTTTGTGGTCAGGAAATTGGATTATAAAATCCAGAATGGGACACAGAGAGTCTACATTCTGTGCAGTGGCAGTGAAACAGGTTAGGGTTTTAGAGCTCAAGTGATCACTCACAGGAGTCTGCAGAACAACAAAGCTATGCTTCAAGATGCCTTATTTGGACACTGGGTTTTGATATGTCACTGACGGTTATTAACCAGGCATTTCAAAGGCAAGACATTGTTTCCTCCAAGCTACCTTTTTAGACATTTCCAGGCAAGCACCGAACACAAAGAAAGGGCACTGGATCATGTGTCCCAGGACGGGGTTCTGCCCCGGCTCGACCCTGGATGGGCCCGGGAGCCTCGGCAGGATGCTCTTCCTCTCCCAATGCCCGCAGTTTCCTCATCTGTGAGATGAGTCTCAACCACACCAAGTTCATTCCACTTGTGAGTCTCCAGTTCTAACCTCCTCAGAGAGGAGAGAAAAAGCCACGGATGCACTTCCTGCATTTCTTTAGGACAAACCCTAATTGTTCAGAGCTTGTGACTGCCCCTTCCCATCACGGGAAACCTACTCGGCTGTGGCAGGCCCACGCTTTCTCCCACGTGTCTCCCCCTCCCTCAGCAATATTATTATTACCATTCGCTTTTGGCAGAGGTGGCCCTGTCCTCTCTACCCGAAGATTTGACCCCAACTCACCTTCTCGAGGAAGTCTCCCCAACGGCCCCACTCTGCTCCCTCCTCCTCGGGTTCCAGGACCCAGGACCCAGGCTGGGTCTGTCCTGCCAGCACTGACACCCTTGTGGCTTGTAAAATACTTTTAGTCATTTTCCTGTGGGTGTGTCTTCTGTCCTGCCCAGTGCCCCAGCTTCCCTGCTTAAAGGTTCTGGGTGTGGGGTCAGGGCTTGGAGGGGGCCAAGAAGGTGAGCAGCCCCTCCTCCTGGCCAGGGGCGGGGGGGGGGGCAGGAAGAGCTGCCACTTTTCTTCCTGTTTTTATGTACAGCATAGGCTGACATGCACAATGAATGCCTCGGGTAAGAAGGCAGCGTTGGGGGCAGTTCCAGGCAGGTGTGTGGCAGGAGAGGGGCTGAGAAGTGGGACCCCGTGTGTGGTGGTGGTGATGGGTGGGCACGACCTACCGTCCACAGTGACTTGGCAGGAGCACTCAGCCTGGCCAGCGCCATTCTTGGCCACACACTTGTATACGCCTCTGTCCTCGGGCAGCGCCTTCTCAATGGAGACGGAGCAGAGTGAGCCTGGGGGGAGGAGGAAGAACTGTTGAGTGGACCAGGTATGGCCCCAACACCTGCCCTGGCATCTGAAGCACGGCAGGTCACTGTTCCACAGGAGGTCTCTGGGGGTCCAGAAGCCAGAGCCCTGTGGGAATAGACCCTCTCTCCTCGCTGAAGCCAGGGCACTCTCTGCTGTTAACCCATGTCCAAACTAAGTGACCTCTAAATCAGTTCCTTCCTGGTACCCCCTCACCCCGTTTCCAGAAAGTCTTCTTTTGGGGACATAATGGAAGATTACAGAAGAAGAGAGAGAAAGAGCCTCTGCCTTTGGAGAGCATCTAATACAACAGAAGGAGGTGGACACAGGCCCGGCACGCTGGGATGTCATGAAGAGAGAAAGGAGTCAGGCACAGGGTTGCAGACCCTTGTCAGTAAAGCTGGCAGGTGAGGGGCCCCGCCCAGCTGACAGCAGTGATTCTGGGAATGTACTTTGGAAAAGGGAGCTTTGAGCAAAAGGGGCAGGTGGAGGAGGGCAGGAGCCCTTGTCCAGGAGGGGTGGAGCCCTTGTCCAAAAGGGGCAGGTGGAGGAGGGCAGGAGCCCTTGTCCAGGAGGGGTGGAGCCCTTGTCCAAAAGGGGCAGGTGGAGGAGGGCAGGAGCCCTTGTCCAGCGGGGGTGGAGCCCTTGTCCAAAAGGGGCAGGTGGAGGAGGGCAGGAGCCCTTGTCCAGGAGGGGTGCTGGCCCAGGGGAAGATCTGCTGGGGGAGGCAGCTGACCACGGCCTGGGACCTGGGAGCTGGCTTCTTAGGATGCTGTCTGAGCCAAAGATCCGTGGCCAGTGAGGGGCCGTGGGTTGGCAGAGGGCATTTTGGGGCTGCTTCCCTTCAGTGCCAGGTCTTCAGGTTGCCTCAGAGAAGAGAGGGATGGCCCTCTCCAAAGACTCCCAGCGGTGTCTACCCTCGCCCCTAGCACATCTCTTCTGGCTGGCTGAGGAAGGAAGGAGGAGCCGGGGTGGGCAGCCACAGGAATCTGGGGTCTGGCTCTTGCCTGTCCCAGCTCTCCCATCCCAAGGCTGGCCACTGCTCCTCTGAGGGACCCTCCTGGGGAGTTTCCACCACGGTGTGGGGAGAGGTCAGCGAGGGCTGGGCCTGCTGGGCCAGGCAGAAGGGCAGGCAGCCCCCAGGTCCTGCCTTCAGATGCAGACAAGCCAACAGCATGGCGTCCTGCCCAAAGCTGCCCTATTGTCAGGGCAGCAGCCGTCGCACAGGAGGACAGAGCCAAGGCCACGTGTGTCCTGCTGCCTGAAGCCACAGGCCACTGTCACTGGGAGGGCAGAGCTGGGTGTGTCCTGGGGACAGGTGTGGGGACAGCATGACCAGAAGGGAGACCAACAGGCACTGTTCCCCAAAAGGCCGTCTGATCTTGAAAAGCATGCAAACCTGCCACTGCCCACACCCGCCAGCCCCGTTAGATGAAGGCACAGACTTGACCGTCGAAGGAAGTTCAGAAAGAGGAAGGATGGCATCTGTTCTGCCTAGAGAGCCTCACCAAGGCTAGAAGAGAAAGTAAAGGCGTGATATTCCCCTTTAATCCTTGCCAGCTGTATAACATTTTAAACAGAAACTCCTTCAGCCTACAGAACACCTGGGGTGGGATGGCTGCTCTGCACCCCACCTCAGCCCCCTACGCCCCTGCACAGACTGCACCCCTCGGGAAAGGCCGCACTCTGTTCTCTCACCAGGAAGGCAACAGGCCAGGGTCGCTTCCCATTGTGGTTGGGAGACAGAATTTGTAGAAACTACAAGGAAAGGATTTAGGCTAGATCTTTAGCAAGTCTGTCCTGAGAGTGAGAACCATGAGGCTCAGAGACAGGGGAATGAGGATAACTGTCTGCTAGAGAGAGAAGTTTCTGCATGTCTGGGTGGCAGGAGGACGCTGAGATGACCTCTGGCCCCAACTTGAGGCTTAGAGGAAACTGACCCCATCTCACAATGTTCCCCCAGCCTGAGTAGGGCTGAGGCTGGGGAGCAGACATCCCGCCCCCCCCCATGTACATCCTGTTCGAATCTGGGATTGTCTTTCAGTTTCAGTCCCTCAGCTGTCTTTAGCCTTGAACCAAACAGCACAACCTGCACAAACAGCAGTGGGACTCCCAGGAGAGCAGTGGAGCCCCCAAGCCCCAGGAAGGCAGGGAGCTGGCAGCTTTGCCCAGCCTCGCCCAGAGCTGGGACCCCTGGCCACCCATGGGCTGGGGGAGGGCCCCCAGGCAAGCTCGGAGCCTTGGCTACCCCAGATGAAGAATCTGGTATTTCCTGTGGGACAGTTCATTCCTGACCTCCAGAAGAAAAACCATTTCCCAATGTTTTTTTTTTTTTTTTTTAAAGGCTCAGCCTGATGGGGAATTTTGAGGGAGGTGAGGGGGATGGGAGCAGTGGGACCAGGAATCCCCTGATGGGTGTCGAGCCCCTCACAGTGTGCAGCAAGTGCTCAGGGGTCTGAAGCTCCCCCAGCCCTCCCCTTTCTTGAGTGCGTGGGAATAGGAAGGGAGGGATGGGCTGAAGCCCCAAAGGCTCTGCTTAGGGGGCTGCCTAAGCCTGTAGCGCCTCCCTGACCCGGTGCACCTGGCCAGTCCAGACCCACAGCATAACTCATCTCAGGTCACCCCCTCAGGCACGGTGCCCTCCGTGTGCCCACTAAGCCCCCAGCCCTAGGTGGACCTCTTCTGTGCTCCCGGGTCACCCCGAGCTCACCCTTGTCAAAGCCCAGCTCACAGGGCGGCTGCTGGCTTCCACGCCTGTCTCCCACCCAGCTCTCTGAGGGCAAAGACCATATCTGTCACCAATGTTTTCCCTGAGCCTGGAATGCAGTCGCAGTAAGACATAGCTGCCATTCTGAGAATGACAAGGCGTATTTCTGTAGCAGATGGTTTTCATAGGATCTACGTAAAAAAAGGTCATGAATACTTAATCAAATATAACCTACTGCTGAAAAACATGGTTTCTAAAAGGAAAAAAAATTCCCAATTCAGAGTTCTTCAAGTGGATGATGCATACAATGAAAAGGGCTAGAATAATGCCTTGCTTGTAGTAGGTGCTGCATAAATCAATTTTTTGTAGGATGAACTTACACAGGCTTTGAAAAAAGCTTTGCAAGATTCCACCCTGAAGGCAATTAAAAATGAATTATCTGTTGACATCAGCAACAAAAATGAATCCTCATTACTAGAGTGGGAGAAATGTTTTGCTGGGGAGAAGCTTGGCCTGGAGACAGGAAACGAAGCGTAAAGATAAAAGCTCTTCTCAGAGTTGTTCAGGCCACCAGCCTCCCACCCCTCTATCACCGAGGTAGGGCCAGAAAGGGCTGGGGACAGACCTGGGGGGCCCAGGTGTCCGTCCCAGAGGGCAGGCCCACCTGGTGGCACTCTGGATGCTGTTGGCTCTGCCGCCCTGGAGGTGCAGGAGGAGAAAGGACACCTCCACCTGCCTGTCTCTCTCCAAGAATTAACCAATGGTCAACTCCCACCCATGGCTGTCACACCTCTCCTGCTCTCCTCGGCACCCCAGGAGGGAACTAAATGGGGTGGATTGAATGGGCCTGCAGGCTACGAGCCCTGTCCAAGCTACAGACATCAGAGAAGGCCCCACACCCTACGAACAGAGCATCCTCCAGCAGCTGGGCACAGGACACGTGCTGGTGGGGAAGGACGAGAACGCAGGCGTCTCTTGTGGACGGAGGTGGGTGACAACAGTTTGGGAAGGTGTCCTGGAAGAAGCAAATCTTGATGATAGCAGAGCTGACAGGATGGGGATCAGTGCGGTGGAGCAAGAAGGGCTCCAGGTCAGGGAGGTGGGGCAGGAGGGTGCTGAGCCCAGCGTGAACCGCAGGAGACCGGCAGGGCCAGTCCCTTCTCTTCCCCTACAAACCACTCCACCCACCGGCCTCCTTACGCCACTGACACCTCACTGTGCCCCAGCTGCCCAGACCCCCACGTGCAGTGGTCTTCCACTCTCCTCCTCTTGACTTACCCCCACCAGGCTTTTCCGAGCCAGCAGCAGGCTCTATATGTTCTATCCTTGCTTCTTGAACTGATTATTTCTTCTCTGAGGCCATGGCTATTGTGCGCGTCCACCTTTCTCCCTGATCTCTTCAGTGGGCTCTGAATTTGTTTTTTGGGCACAGAGTTAATCAAAAGCCCTACAACCTAGCTTTGTTTACAGTGCTGCTCCTCACTCCAAAATCTTTCATGGCTCCCTATTGCCTTTAGACTCGAGTTCCTTGCCATGATCTGGGATGAAATCGGGGCCATGCCATTCTCTCCAGCTCTCACTGGGCCGTGAGCAGGTCTGCGTGCCAGGAAAGCCTGTCCCCTCCAGCCTGCCTGCAGGGCTCAGCCTGAGGCCCAGCGCCTTCACACCAGCCTTTCCCTGCGGCCCAGCACTCTGCTCCCTCTCCTGCCTGCTAGCAGCTCCTCCTGACACCTCACTGGCACTTGTCAGCACGCAGCTGCTACACTTTTAGCACTACATGTGTCTGTGTATCTTTCCTTTCCAGATCTGTTAAGATCCACTCCACCTCTCAGAATGCCCTACTCCCTGCAGTGGGACCGGCTGAAGTGGCAGCTGATAGGCAAGGCCTGAACAAAAGCTTTCTCCTTAGCAGAACACCTGGCTCTGGAAGATTTGGCAAATGAAGGGACCAAAGGTGGGGCTGATATTTGAGACCCGGTACTCTCCCCTACTGTGGCAAGACAGGCCCATCTCGAGGTCTGCTTTCTCCATGCAGGGAAAACGCTACAAACTTGGAAAGCCCAGGGGCACCATCAGTCTTTGAACCTTCCGGCAACTGTTAATAATGTTGAGGAGTAATAGCCCTTCGAATATTCTGTGGATAAATTCTCAGCCGCCACCAGGATTCTGACAAACTCATAGGAATTAAGAGGTCACATAGCGTAGTGGTCTATACACAGTACTCGACCACTTGAGTTCCAATCCCAGCTCGGTTACTTACGAGCTGTGCGACCTTGGGCAAGGTGCTGAACTTCTCTGTGAGATGGACATTAAAGTAGTCATTGTGGGGATTAAATGAATGAAAATGTAAGATGACCAGGACAGCATTTGGCACATGAGACATTCAAATCATGCAAGCTATTCTTATTTTAAAATATTTAGAATATTTTTTTACAGTTTGATTTGGGGCTTTATCTGCAATCCCCTCCTGCTCCCTCCTATTCTCTCCACGCTGTCCCTGTGCTGGCCTTCGTTGACCATTTCTTCACCTGCTGCCCTGCACCTGAACCGCTCCCTTTGGGACAGTGTCCGAGGGAGGCGATGCTGCAGTGGCTGGGGTCTCTGCGCTCTTTACTTCTCAGGGACCCGCAGATAAAACATATTCCAGGCACTCTGGGCCTGAGAAGCCAGCGCCAATGGCTCAGGAGGGTTTATGAGATCAGGCCTGGGTCTGCCTTACATGGCTTATTCGAGTGGACTGTTTCTAAGTGGCTATCGGTGGCTCTGGGTTTAAATCCCATTCAGGCCTCAGAGGAGCTGCCTTGGGTCCCGCCCTAGCTGTCGGAGCCTCAGTTTCCCTGAGGTCGGAGCAGCCACGGACCTCACATTGTGTAGGCCTGTGTGACTGCGTGTGTCCTGAGGATGGCGGCCACCCACCCTCATCCTGCCCAGAGAGATCACCACAGGGCAACCCAAGAAATGCTCCCAGCCAAGAGCTTCCCAAGTGGGAGCGCCCCTAGCAGGGCCGAGGGGGAGGCAGCCACTCCCCTGGACTTGTCACCCCAGCCTGGCCGTCCCCAGGCCCACCTGTGTGTGGACCTCGGGGAGGCTGAACCAACAGAGGCAGGGGGACGGGTGAGAGGACTTCTGGAGGACCCTGCTGATCTGGGGACATGCACGTGAAAAAGTTACTGTGTCAACACATCAGCGGAAAACATCACGCTTTTCTCCCTGCTGGCCAATTTCCCCTTCGCTCCTTCAGCATGTAGACTCAACACGCTCAGCTCTTCCAGATTTGCCGTCCCAGACCCAGACAGGAGAGAGGAACCTCACTGGGAGCCCAGAGGGATACTGCTGAGAGGGAAACTGCTGTCTATGGATGCTTCCTTCCAGTTGCTAAGGGGAAGGCAGACCAGAGGAAGGTGAGGGAGGGCTGGGGAGGGCGCAGGTGGAGCATGGCACAGCGACAGGAGAGCGAGGGGAGTGTGAACAGCATCTCTGATGTCTCAGCTGACCTGGACTTGGCAGGACCCATCCAATCTGGCCTCTGCTGTGGCCGTCCTCTGGCCCTCGAGGGTGACATGCCACCTCCCAGGGAGTTTCTCTGGACTCTGCCCTGGCCAGAGCCACCAGCATCAGCCTGCAGCACTCCATTCTGTGCCGGCCACCAGAGTGGGGTGTGGACATCTGCCAGCCTCGGAGCTCCCCCACGCCCCACCCCTGGCTTGGGATTTACAAAACCACTTCAAATGAAATTGAGGGTCCAGGGAAAATACTCCTCTCACCCCCATCTCTTCTCCAGGCATAAACTGGCCCATCTGAAAACTCCAGACCCCTAAAGGCCACAGATGGCAGGATTTGGGCCCCCCCTCCTCTCCCCACCACCCAAGAATGTGAAATACCAGCAAACAAAAGTCTCATCCAAATTAGGAAGCGAGCAGCCCTGTCCGCCCGGGAGTGTGTGCTGTAGGGGCTGTTTGGGGTTTTGGCTTCCCCCACAGGCCCCTTCAAACCCACAATGCTACCAAGACTCAGGCTGTTGTTGACCCCACCTCAGAGCTCTGTGCCGTCCTGTCACTACACACCCTTCCCAAACCTGAGGTGCAGCTGCCAACCAGCTCTTCCCTCAGAGCCCCTCGCTGGCTCCTGCCTCGGCGGCCCCCTATCTCCAAGCCTGCGAACAGAGCCCTCTCTGTGCAGAGTTGCTGGGCGTCGACTCAGGCCCAGGGCTACCTTGGGGAGCACAGAGCTGGGGGTGCATGAGAGGGCTCTGCCAGACAGATGCCAAGCCATGGGCATGTGCCCTGCGACCAGAATCCCAGCCATCACCCCCAGCAACAGGGCATGCCCCCAAGAGTGAGGTGGGGACAGGGCCCGGGCATTCCGACCAAGGCTACGGGCTATAAGCAGAGATCAAGACCAAGGTTCCAGGAGCTGACAGTGGACCTGGAACAGGGTCCCCTTCTTCCCCAACCCCCCACCCTCATTTACCTTCTTGGGAGAGGATGATGAACTTGGTGGTCTTGAGGGTCTTTCCATTCAGCGTCCAGGTGATGGTGGCCGGGGGGTCAGAGGACACCTGGCACTGGAGTAGCAGCTTCTCACCCTCTGCCACATGAACATCTTGTAGCTTTTCCTTGAATGTTGGGGCTGTCCCTTGGCTCTCCGATCTCTTTTCATTATCTGTGGCCCCCGCTTGCCCTCTCTTGCAGTTCACATCATTCTTAACGTCCTTCTTGAGTTCTTCTTTCCCAGCTGATTTCATGGTCTCAGCAGGCTTGGTGCTGCCCACGGGTTTTAGGGTCTCATTGGGCTTGGCATTGTCCATGGGTTTCAGGGTCTCAGCGGGCTTGGTGTTGCTCAAGGGTTTCGGGGTCTCGGCAGGCTTGGTGTTGCCCACGGGTTTCAGGGTCTCTGCGGGTTTGGCGTTGCTCAAGGGTTTTGGGGGCTCGGCAGGCTTGGTGTTGCCCACAGGTTTCGGGCTCTCTGCAGGCTTGGCATTGCCCATGGGTTTCAGGGGCTCAGCAGGCTTAGTGTTACCCATGGGTTTCAAGGACCCTGATGGCTGTGCATTGCTCACAGGCTTGGAACTTTCCACTGCTTTGGCATTCAAGGCCTCAGTGCTGCTGCTACCATTCTCTGCTGGTGATTTCTTCTTGCTGCCTAGCACAGAGCGAAAATCCGGGGTAGCAGGTTTTGGAGGTGGCACTTTCTCAGGCACTGGGGTCTTGGGAGTCCCTTTCTTGGCCAGGACAGAGCGGAAGTCAACCTGCTGGGGGCTATGTACCTTCCTCTCTTCCTCGGTCACAGTCTTCGGCTTTACTTGCCGCTGCAGGTTGGCGCGGAAATCCATCTGCTCAGCTGGGATCTCCTTGAGGTCTTCTTCCGACACGGTCTTGGTGCTCACCTTCTTCCCCAGGAGGTCACGGAAGTCCAGCTGCTCTACCTCCTGCTGGCGGATGGCCTCCTCCGTGTGCTGCCTGGTCTCCACACGCCTCTTCAGCACCCCTCGCACGTCCTCACCGTCCTCCTCCTCTGGCCAACCCTGCCCTCTTGCCAGCCAGCCGGGCCTCAGGGTCCCATAGTGGTCACCACTGCCACCATCAGCACCAGCTTCTCCACCACAGAGGCCCTCACAGCTGGCAGGCTCCCTCCCCCTGCAACCAGTGAAGGGAAAAGGGAAAGTAGCAGGAGGAAAGGGGCAGGGGAAGAAAGAACGTCAGGGGAGAGCAAATCCCTGAGGGCGGAGGGCAGAGAGGAGGGGCGAGGGAGGGGGCTGGCCAGGCTGTGTTTATAGAAGGGAACATTGGAGAGAGGCGCTCACTCGCCTAGTTGGTTTATTACATCGGTAATGACTTCAGTAGCCTTATAAGGGTGTGTGCAAAAAAAAGAAAAATCACCCCCTCCTTTCCCCTCCTCTCCCTCCTTCATTCCCCTTCCAATCTCTCCCTTTTGGCTTTGGCAGCCTCTGCTGGAGGATACAAACACTCTGGGGCTGCTGGGCTGGGCTGGGGGTGGGGTGCCTGGCGGGGCAGCTCCTGGGGGCACTCACCGTGGGGGGGCCCTGGCAGGGCTGCTCTGTAGCATCAGTGACACCTGGCAGCTGCATTCGCCAACCCGGTTCCTGAGGAATTCCAAAGATCAATGAAGATCAAGAGGCTGTCTGGGCAAAGGGCCTGCTCAGCATGGACTTGGTCACAGGCTGCTGGCCACCAGGGAAGATGGAAGTCACCAGATTAGCTGTGACATCCACCCAGAGTTAGGTCTAGGGCAGGGCCCTCTCAGACTGTGGTCACCCTTTATTTTCCCAGCTCTTGTTTAAAAAGAAGAAAAAGAAATCTCTGGACAACAGCTAAGACAGGCATCCAGAAGTAGGAATACTTTTCTGTAAGTGTATTACATAACACAGTCAGTCAGTCATTCAATCAATAAGAGGAGAAAAATAAAGGCTAACCCTGCCAGGGTCTGCAGTCAGGCCTGGTCAGCCTGCCCAGTGACCTTGACTCTGACTCCCAGCTCCCTAAACAGAGAGGTGGGCACTTCCCTCAACCACTCAGGAATACAGCACCCCCAACCTCTGCTTACTGGGAATGCCCCTAGATCAGAATCTTGTGTGTTAAAAACCTAACAAGTGTTTCCCTACGTGGGTGGCCCTTTCTCTTCTCCCTTCAGGTGGAGAGGGCTCTGTATCTTTCCTGTCCTAGAACTGTTTGGCCTCCCAGCGGTGGAGCAAGCCGGCGGAGGACCCTGTGCTCAGGAGAGAGACTGGAAGGGTTTACAGCCGAGCAGCCCGCCAGCCCCGCAAGGCTGCCATCTGCTGGCGTTGCTGAGCTCTGACCATCAGAGAAGGCTCTGCTCAGGCTGGGGGAGGAGTGGAACAGGCCTGAGAACCAGAGGGGACTCTTGGTGGCCACAAGAACTGCATTTTATGCAGTACTCTCCAGTCTTCATATGTCCACACCGGTTGTTTTTCTTGTTCCCCACAAATGCCAGGGAGATGCGGAGCATGGCCATGCCCCATTTAAAGATAAGGAAAGCAGGCTCGGGGGGTGGACCCTCGGGGGTCTCAACATCCGCTCCCACTCCTCATTCCCTTGTTTGCAGCCCTGTCACTAGCACTCAGCCCTGGGGCAGATATGCCAGGGTCTGTGACAAGTTCCTCATATGCCCCATCTCATTTTATCTCAGGATAGCTCTGTGAAGTTGGAGTCAGCACTATTTTTAAAAGGTAAGAAAAAGGAATTAAGAGTTAATAAAGGTTAAGCAATTTGCCTGAACTCACAGAGGTAACTAGTGGGGAAAGAGCTTGGGACCTGGATCTACCTGAATCCAAGACCTGTGACCTCTGCACCCTGTCCCGCAGTGCTCATCAGAATAAATCTGCTCTGGGATCCATGTGTGTTTGTGCGTGTCTGCGTGCATATGTATGTATCAACCGTACATTTGTATACACACAGATATGGGGTCTATCTGGCAGACACCTGTACCTGGAGGTCCGTATTTGAGAACGCATGTGTGTGCATGAGTCATGCCACATGGACAGACATCGGGGCATGTGTTCATGTATGTTCTGCTGATGTGTGTGGGTGTCCACCTCACTCTGCTGGCCTCCCTCCCAACGGGCCCATGGCATGGCACGTGAATCTCAGGGCGCCTGGTGGGTGCTGCTCACCCCTGGGCACTGGGACCCATTTGAAGCAAGGAGAGGGCAATCTTTGCTACCCTCCAGCCTTCTCTCACCTGCTGGGGCCCCCTCTATCTTCCCTCCCCAGAGCCCTCACACGGTCCCAGGCTGTGCCACTGCAGGTGCCTTCTGGCTGCCTTAGCTCTTTTCCTCCTCTCTTCCCCAGCCAGACAACCCACAGCCATCCTGTCCTGCTGCCCTTCTTGGCTCTCAGTGAGCACAGATTCAAGGCTCAGGGAGCCTCACGTCTGGAGAACATCAGGGCCCATGGTGCCCCTTTGCTCAAGAAACAGCAATGAGAAGCCTCATCAGTGTTAGCAGAGCACTCTGAGCTCTCAACACTCAGAAAGGCTTGTGGAGTTTGGGTCAACTTGTAGAATAACCACTCAAAGGCATGCTGGGTCAGGGCCCCAGACCCTGGCACCCTGCTTCTGCCAGGCTGCTGGCCAGTGTTGGGCCATTCCTTTCCCCTTTTTCTTTCAAGCTTAATGTGGTGGTGCCCAGGTTTGGCGTGGAGCAGGAAGACAGGATGCCCAAGGACTGTGTTTGCCCAACAGCCCTTTTCAACATCTCCTCAGCTGAGCTTCCTCCTGCCACAAGTGGAACACAGCCCAGATGCAAACAGCAGGAGCAGACACTGCCCAGATGGCCACGCTTTGCCCCAGCCCGACCCCGCAGAGGCTCTGAATGGTGAGGCCCTACCCCTGGCCTGGAGCAAGGCTTCTCTCCACATGGGGAGGTGGTAAGGGCTTCTGTCGTTTTCCATGACCTGTCCTCAAGGGGGAGAGCACAGACTCAGATAAGCCTCTCTACCTTGTGGCACCCGGGCAGGGGTCTGAGGAAGGTGGAGAACTTGGGATCCCATAGCTGGTCCATTAAATGGATCATCCCTTGGATGGGTGACCTAGGGGTAACTATTTCCACAGCTATAAACTTAACTCTCTGCTGGGCCTTGTGTAGCATGGGTTCATGTGTAGCCTACAGAGTTCAGAGGGGCCTCCTGCCTGGACCCATGTGCCAGATGATCTACCCAGCTGGAACAGTGTTTTGGGGCCATCTTCAATATTTGCACACACCCAGGTACAAAATCATGTCTGGGCTGAGGAGGAGGCCCCATCCCGGGTGCTGCCATGGAAGAAGACATGGGCTGTCACCTATATATTGCACCTTTCACAAACTAACAGAGCCCTTTGCCCCTGCTTCCCAAGCCCCGAATAAGAAGCCCACACTTCAGTTACAAAGCCTTGGATCCTGTCCCACTTGGAATCATCTGTCTCCAGGATGGATTTTATATGCAAAATTAGTTTAAAGAACTAATTTCCTGGCAAGTATCCATTTTTCAACCAGTTCAGCTATAATTGGGAGCTGACTTTTTGACATTTGCCCTTTTGGTGCAGGAGAAAAGAATTGGGGAAAGGAAGGGAGATAGGAACTAGCCACCTACACTTGCCTCACAACTTTATCAGGGACAGACAGGACTTGCCCCCCCCACCCGGCACACCTGACCCCTGGCCTCCTTGTAGCCACCCAGACACCCCCTGGAAAGGCCCCCTGCCCTGGGTCTGGGGTCTAACTCCTGTCAGGATGAGAAAAGCAGCAGAAACGAGGCCCCTGGCACCCTGGCACACACTCCCCAGGAGAACTCTCCACTGACTTCCTCCTTCTCCACTGGGGACAAAGCCAAGGCCAGGACCGTGGCCTCCCGAAGGAATAAAGAGGCTGGACTTGTGGGAGGAAGTAGAGGCAAGGGCACATGGGTGGGGACCCCGGCGTGGTTGACTTCCCAGGTCCTCCAAGTTCCTGTGCACTTGAGAGAAGCTGCTCATGCTGGGCCGTAAGGAATGGAAGAGCATCTGATTTAAGTCGGAAGACGAGGGTTTGAACTTGCTCCTCGCCTTTGGGTGGCCATGAGCAAGTCCATGACCCTGAGACCTCAGTTTCCCCCATTATTAAATGAGGATGAGGATAGATAACTTCTGACGTCTCTTCCAGCTGGGACAGTCTAAGTTTTATGACTGTCCCCAGCTGGCCCCAGACAGTCTGCCTGCTGGCCTCCCAGTGCAGCCCTCCTCTCTGGCCTGGCAAACTCCCCATAGCCCTTTGCTTTGCTCGGCCCCTCCTTCACCTTTTCCTCTCATCCGATTCAACAGCAAAGCCTGTTCTCATTTGCCAAGACTCAGCCTTGCTTTTCTCCTCAAAACCCCACAGAAAGCTCATCTCCTCTAGGATGTCTGGCTTAAGTAACGTGAGCATTGTCTCACAGTACTACTCCTTCTAAACTGACAGGCTCGTTGGAAAGTATTTTTACACGTCATCAGTTTGCATTCTTTGTACTGGCCCAGGGAACAAGAGTGTCCCTTCTCCCCATTTGGGAGGCAGATTTGCCTTCCTGCTAACAACTAGCTCAGGCATCAGGCACAGGCCCTTGCTGTGCTCTGAACATACTGCTAATGGTAGTGGGTGACCAGCAGCCTGCACCATCCTGTCAGCTGACCACAGGCATGTCACCGAGCTCAGATGAGATTTGTTGAACATTGTCCAGCTCAGCAAAACTTCCTAGCAGACCCAACGACTCCTAAGAAATAATAAATGGCTTTTTAAAAAATGGCTACATTAAAAATGCCACTAAGTATTGGGGTGATTTGTTACATAGAAAAAGCTAACAGACACATACATGTGTGAAGCACATACCCAGAAAGGACCAAAGGGCATGGGATACATACTGGGTTTGCAATTGTTGTAGGCACAACGCTCCATCACAGCGGTAGCCTTGGCATCTAGCTAGAGAGCCTGTTTGTAGCTCACAGCCATACACATGATGGGCTCAATAGTGGGAAGTGACCAAGTCCCGGAGAGAACGCCCCTTGCAGAGTGGACAGGCACCCAAGCCAGGGCAGGTCTAACCGTCCTCAGCATGCGGCACAACTTCCTACTTGTAGGTCAGGTGTAGACAAGTGCTTTCCTCAATGTTTACACCAACCCCAGGACCAAGGGCAGGCATCCTATCTCCATCAGTCCAGGGCTGGCATAGAATTCCAAGAGTTGGAGCATTTTAAAGGACATTTCTGAATCACATTCATTTACAAAATAGCCACCAAATGCTAACTACGGGCCAGACATTGTTCCAGGCCTGCGAACATAGCAGTGTGCTTCGTGGAGCTGACCTTCCCATGTAACCTAGCAAGACCTTGAAAAGCTGAGAAAAAAGGAATAGAGAAAGTTAACCTCCCTGTGGTGGTCTTAAAATGTCTACAAATTATCTGGCGCTCCTCTCTCCAAAGGTGGAAAGTAATTCCCCTCCCCTTGAACAGGGGCTGTATGGAGTGACTCACTCCTAACCAACAGGAAGTTGGAAGTGATGACGCATGACTTCTGAGGTTAAATCACAGGAGACGTTGCAGGCTCCGACCTGTGCTCTCCTGTAGACCACTGGCTCTGGGGAACCCAGCTGCCATGTCATGAGGACACTCAAGCAGCCCCGTGGAGGGGCCCCCAAGGCAAGGAGCTGAGGCCTCCTGCCAACAGGCACGTGAGTGAGCCACCCGCAAGCAGCTCCTCCAGTGTTAGCCAAGCTTTCCAGACTGCAGACCCTGCTGACATCTTGACCTCAACTTCAAAATCATCCAGCTAAGCTGCTTCCAAGTTCCCAGCCCACAGAAACTGTGAGATAATAAATGTTTGTTGTGTCAAGCTGCTAAGTGCTGGGGTAATTTGTTACAGAGCAATAGATAACAAATACATTCCCTCTATCCTCCTGCTTTTCCCACTTGAATCCATTCCCCCCCTCCTTCATATTTTCCACACACTGCACACTGGGGGAGCAAAATCCAGGATAAAATAAGACTGAAGATTTGGGGAAACCGAGCTCAGAAGGGAAGGTTTTGAGGCACATCTGCTACACTGAAGAGGAAGAAACTGCTGTCAGCAGCACAGGGCCTGCACTGGCTTTACTCTGAACTCCGAGCCCCACACCAGTCTGTGCACCCTCTGGCTTCCCCGACCCAGGTGGGGGCACTAGGAACTTGGGGGTGAGGAAGGGAGGCTGGCGGGCCATGCAGACTCACTTGAGCAGGATCTCATACTGGCCGGCGTGCCAGGGCTGCACATTCCTTAGGACCAGCGTGAACACGTCCTCATTCTGCAGCACCTCGAAGTGGCCAGTGTCTTTGCAGAGGGCTTTGCCATCCCGGAGCCAGTGCACAGTAGGGAAGGGGTCTCCAGCTATGGCGCAGGAGATGAGGACACTCTGGCCCAGGGAGGCTGTCACCGAGCGAGGCTTGCTGATGAACCAGGGCTGGGTGCCGTCATGAGGCTCTGGAAGTTGGCAAAGGACAAAGCTAGAGTGGAGGCCCTTCAGCAGACAGCGTCCACTCAACTCCCCACGGTGTGAAGGGCGGGAAGCCAGAGCGTCACCTGAGTAACAGCTTGTCTAGAAATCACTTTGGCTGGATATATACATGCAGCACATCCTTCTTGTTCCAAATCTGTCTTGGTTACATTCTCAGAGGACAGTATTAACAGGAATTTGTATATCCAAAGCAAAGGGAGAGAGTGCAGAAGGCAGAGGGCACTGTGCTGGGCGCTAATGATCTGCATTGGGTGCATAGGATTAAGAGTTGTCACCTGCCTTACGTGGGCTTAACTTGCCTCTCCTCTTAAATATAAGTTCTCTGATGACAAGGACCCTGACATGCCCACAACTCACCTCAAAAGCTATCACTGCCAAACTGTCAAGTGTATTACTTAGCACTCATGCAGCTTGTCACCAGTAACCCAGACAGGGCAGGGACTTCAGAAAGCTGGGAAGGGCAGCCCCACCTGGCCAGAGCTTGCGATACAGGATAGGGAGCTGACCTCTGGGCTGGGATGTGACCCAGGGAGCAGAGGGTCCACAGCGGGGGCAAAGCAGGCTCACATGGCTTCCTCGCCTCCACGTCACTTTTGGAGAGGCCATGGCAGGACTCCCTCCACACCTGCTCCTTGTGGGTCAGCCTCACCTTGCACTGTGAGCACGGCCTGGGTGCGGACCTCCCCGGCGCTGTTCCAGGCCTCGCAGGTGTACGTGCCTGTGTCCTCCGGGAACACCTCCTGGATGCAAAGGCTGTGCAGAGTGCCTCTCTGTTCAAAGTGGAAGTCCTCTGACTCCTGGATCTCATTCCCGTTGTGAAGCCAGATGACCTCAGGGGGTGGATTCCCTATACCGGGAAGAGGTCGGGGGACTGTTCAGGGAGGTCGCTCCCTGGCCATGTGGCAGCTCTGCACTTACTACCGTAATAGGGTATACATGCTCTACTGAACTCTCTACACTTCAGTTTTCCTGTAAAATAGGGATCCTAACAGCATCTACCTTACGGTTTGTTGGGGGGACTAAATGAGTTCATCAACCCCCCTTAGCAGCCCATCAAGGCAGCAGATTAGAAGAGCATCTGGCACAAAGAAAACACTCAATGCTGTCCATCAGAATTATTTAACAACAGATTTGGAGAAAGTAGAAATAATTCAGATGCAAAAATATGATTTAAAGGATGAAGAAGAAAACCCAGAAAGAATGGTTTTCAAAATTAGAATGCAAACTGCTGGATAATGCAAAGGGGCAACCAGATTACTGGGCTGTAATTACCGAACATGTTTTCTGCTCTGCGCTGCTTCACCTGGTGCATCTACATGCTGGCAATGGGAACTTCCTGATAGCTCCCTTGCAAATTTTCACCAGAAACACAGCTCAGTTAGTGTTTCCTTTTGCTACCAAACAAATGTCACCCCAGGGCAAAGATGGGCACCAGCTTGCAAAGGATTTCCAAGCATGGCTCTTAGTGGACCACAGTTTTAGGTTTTACTAGTCTATTTCTCTGGGCAATTTGTGTGGATTTGTTGGGGCATAAAACAACGGCTATCTGTAAGGGTTTCCTCTCATGGAAGAGCTGAGCCATTGGGCTCTGCTTCCAGGGAGCAAGACTCCTGGCGTGGGCCGCTGAGGCAGGTTGTGGGGCACCAGGCCCTGGGAGGCTCAAGAGAGAGCAGACGGACATCTGTCTGCCATGGGTCAGATGTCACACATCTAGAGAGCAGGTGCAGACTCAGTGCACAGCATGGTGAGTGTGGACAGGCCCTCTGCCTGGGACTGTCACGGGATGGCCTCCAGCCTATAGGAACAGTCTATCCGAGCATCAGTAAAAGGGGAGCCCCCAGGTTCCCGCACAGCTCACCTTTATTGCTTCCGCAATGTCAGGCAGGGGCCAAGTCTAGGGGCGGAGAAGCTGGGGACTGGGGTCAGGGGGGAAGGGACTGCAGGAAAACATGGCTAACAACCACAAACAGCAGGAACTTGAGGTTTTGAAGCACACATACCTGTGGAGCTGCGACTTTGTTATAACACCTGTCAATCATATATGTCAATCATCTGGTAATATCCTACACCTCCTGTATGCCCACCTGTGGACCAGGCCAATAAAAGGAAACCACCTGGGTATCCTCAATGTCTTTCCCCACTCATGGAGACTGGCCCATTCCTTCCTGAAATGTACACTCACTTTACATAGTTCCCTCTTTTTCTGCAATGAAAGCTGTTGGTGTGGAATTGTATCCTGTATGCGGTCACTCCATCACATCATCCTACTTGTGAATTTTTCAAGCAATGAGCCAAAGAACCAGGATAATAGTCTGCCAAGAGGCTGGACCTGACATGCAACTCAAGAGGAACTAAAAAACTAGGAAAGTGACCTCCAGGCTGTCTTGGGCACTGATCAGTGGCCAGGGAACACTTATGCACTAATGGCAAACTACAGCTGCCCCCGCCAGGAGTGCGATGCCAGGAGCTTCCCTGGGCTTCTCTTGCTCACCTCTAGCAACGACTGTGACATCTCAGACCACTATGCTAATCACACGCCCTTGTTGCCCTGCCCCTGTTTTAGAAGGACCTCTGCCCCATCTTCTCACCTTAAAACTTGACTAGAGCAGTTGAGATGATCTTCTGGAAGTTGGGAAGTTCTCAGATAATTTGGTTTTGTACCAGTCTTCAGAACCTTCCAGCTACATTGATCACACTATGTTTTCAAATCAACTCCTCACCACTCTCATAATGTCCTTCTTCTCCTGTACTGTTGAACCCTGAATCCAGGAAATCTTACCCAGAGAAGGCAGAAAATAGAGGCCAAAAGTCTCCACTTCTTTGGGTCTATTTCCTGACAGTCCCATCTGATTTTCTGGTAGATCAATGATCTGAGCAGGCCCTCAGGGAGCAGTACTCATTGTGATCATGCCCATTTTCACATATGCCCCGGACAAAGAGATGCAGAGACAGACCTGACACCTGGACCGTCATGGTGACCTGGCTTCCATCCATGACTTTGAGATCAGAGAGGCCCTGCAGGAAGACAGGTGTGACGGGCCTGCTGGGAGCCACGGGCAGAAGGTATTCACTCTTCCTGTCACTCTTCTTTTCTGTATGGTAGGCAACAGAATGAGGGGTGAACATTCATTCATTCAACAAACACAGAGTAAATGTCCACTTGGTACGTGACTGTGTTGATGCTAAGGCTCCTACCAGAAATTGACAGCTAACGGATAAAGAGTCAAGGACAAAAACCTTTCTGGTGCAGGGCTGGCCCCTCACTTCCATTCAGACCCCTGTGAAGACAGATGAACAAAGAGGACTCTCCCCACTCTTGGAATCCTTCCCACCTGGGCTCTGCCCTGCCTACAGGAGCTGGAGGGAGGAGGCCGCAGGTGCCTGGCCGGTGGTCTCCTTCCCACGCACCACAGCCCGGGCAGGATGAGCCCACACTGCCCAGCTGCTGGTCTCTCCCAGGCCAGGCAGCTCTGACTTTCAGTAATTCCTTTTTCGCTTTTTTGTTTTTTGTTTTTGGCAGGTGCAGCAGCTGAGATGGGGAGGGCTAGGCTATTTCTAACTTAAACTCTAAGTTTTTGGGGAAAGGGCCTCTGGTATTTTTGGTCCTTACAAGCACAGGGCCACAAATACCAGACCTTCTTCAGGAAGCAGAGCCATGGGGCTGTGTTCCCAGGGCGTGTTACATATGTGGGCAAGGCCTAACTCCAAAGCTGCCACCGAATGTTTACCTGTTGCCACTAAAGACAGAGTCAGGCCCACTGCAGAGCTCTCCGAGCTCAGCCTCTGGGAATGTGGGTGGGCAGAGGCCAGCAAGGCCCAGAAGGCTGGAGAAAAACTCCCCCCAAAGCAGGTGCAGTCTGAAGAGCATGGAGCCTGAGTTGGAGAGCAGGTAACCCCACGATCCCCACAGAAGAGGGGATTCTCAGGCCCCTGCTGCCCTCCGGGCCCCTGGGACAGGCATTGCAGCCTTTGGCGGAGGACAGGCGGGGGCCTTGGCAGAAGGCTCTTGGAGTGGGATTGGGGGCCCAGTATTGGAAATGCGTAGATCCATCACGTTCTTCGGACTGGGCTGCAGCAGTCAGGAAAGCTGGCTGCCTCGGGAGAGTTGAGGAATTTCCTGTCTCACACAGACTGACAAGGCTAGAGGACAAAATGTTTTTGCCCCTTCCAGAGTACTCCCTGTTCCCCCCTCTCTGCGGTTTGAGCCCAGGTCCCCAGCCTCAGAGAACCCCATAAAGATGAGCTCTAGCTCCTGGGTGCTGCAGGACGCCAGCACCACTAGCTCCATCTTCTCAGGCCGGTGGCAGGCTCCTCTTTGACCCCACCCTCCTCGCTTCTGCCCACGACCCGTTTCCTGGCCTGGGGCTTTGGCAAAGCCAAGTTACCCTGTGGATCTCAGGCACTGGGGACTAAAAACCTGTCTGCTCCTTCTTCCCTGGGAGCTCAGAAGTGCGTGTGAGAGGGTGGCTTCTCGCTGGCTCTGTGCAAGCCTGAGGTCTGCCTGCAGCTCTGGAGGGAATGGTGGTGCTGCCCTGGAAACCTAGGAACTGGGGCCAGATCCTGGCCTCAGGCAGGTCCCTGCCTCTCTCTGAAGCTCAGCTTCCTCACCTGTCTCTAGGGGTAGTCAGAGTGTCATCACATGACTTTGGGGAGTTTTAAAGAGATACTTATGTGAGAATACTTTGTGCAACCATGCAGTGTCAATGAAAACATATGTGCAAGGCTGGCCTGAGAACCGACTCAGACCTACCCACGGGGCTCGCTTACTCCTTGGGCTCATCAGCAGCACAAGAACCAGCGGGGACTGGGCCTCACCCACAGATTGTCCACTCATTTTGTATGACCTGAGGCAAATACTGTTAGGAATACAAATGTGTTACTTAAAAACACCATGGGATATATCTCAAAGTAAATTGAGAACAAGCTTTCATGGCACCCCCAGCAGGAGATGAGTGAGAGAGACTGAACTTGGGGGAACTAGCCCACAGCCAGGCCATCAGCTCCAGTGTCACCCATTGCCTCTGTCCCTGTTCTTTGTTCCCCAGGGCCCTAGGGCATGAATAAAGGGAAGGACCAAGTGATTGGGAGTAAATGTTCAGAAAGAATCTGTTCTCAGACCTGCAGGTATGTCCGTCCCAGCAGACGTAGGGCAGGTCACATAGGTTAGGGTGACCAGGAATCCAGACCAGCACGCGACTGAGTCATCCAAGCAGTCAACTGCACCCCCAGTTCTTCACAGGGTGAGAAACCAACCAGCCCGCCCTACAAACACTCACTGCAGTGGGATTAAGAAGCCAGGGAGGATCTCAAGTTCTGAGCAAGTGGCTCCTTTAGGTAGTCCAAAAAGAGCAACCCTACTAGAATCCTGAAACCCCAGTCCCTATCCTACAGCCACGGTGCTGAAGGAGAGGGCAGGACAGAGACCTGACTAGGGAGAAGTGGCTTGTTCAAGGTCACGGAGCCAGCATAGACAGACAAGGCCAGCATGTTATGCATGCATCTCTTCAAAGGAAATCAGCTCTCTCCAAGGTGCACATGGTGAACTCTCCATGAGGACAAACATGTTGTCAGCTGACGCATATCCTAGACCCTTGACAACCAAGAAAAACTAAAGCAAAACAGAGATAAGCCATGTGAAAAAAACAAAACAAAAAAACAAAAACTGTGTGTGTATGGGCACATGTGTGCATGCATGCATATCAGTTCAATCCAAAGCCAAAAAATTATTCTAGCTCATCTGTGGCTATAGACTGTATCATTTTATGCTCACTCTTGCATGGTCTTAGGTAAAATGAGATAGATGGAAACCGACATTCTTAACTCATGGCTCTACTGTGTGATCTAGGCAAGCTTCCCACCCTAAGCCTCAGTGTTCTCGCCTATAAATTGATGATGCTAACACAGTACTGATAAGTGTAATGTATACATCATCAGTATAATGCATGGTAATGCATTATATATGCATCATCAGTATAATGCATGCAGGTTTTAGATGATTTAAAAAATATGTAAGACAGCTAGAATAATTATTGGCACATTAGAAGTATAAAAATAAATGTGTTTTGATTTTCCCAGGCCAACTGACTTCTTTGGCTGGGCAACTCCACCTGACAGTAACTATTACTACAATGAGAAAAGTTCCCCAAATGAGGACTTTCACATATAATCACGCAGGAAGGGAAAGAACAGCAGCCACTGAGATAAAATCATAACAATGATTCCTTACAAAATTCTAGATTCTAAAGGATGTTCATGGCCCATTTGGTGGTGTCCTCAGCATCCATGGAAGCCCTGTGCAGACGGCGGAGAGCGAAGCTCACCTGCCCTAGATCCTGGGGCTGAAAAGGGCCAAGGGATGGGATGCAGCTAGCCAGGTCCTGGTCTGGGCACTGTCCCTCATCTGTCCTGAGAACAGAGGCAGGATGCCCTCAGTTCGGCAGGGAATTTCTGTCATGGAGCATGTCTGTGTTTGTGCCCAGAGCCATCAGTGAGCCACCGCGTCACTCCTCTGCAGGTGTCCTCCAGCACCGTCCCAGCTGGGGGCCAGGGTCGGAGGTGAGAGGCCCCCAGTGGCAATGCTGTCTCAGGGAGCCTGAGCTTATTCCCCTGGGGAGAGCACGCACTGGCCATGGCACACAGATAACAAGGGACAGTTCTCTGGGGCCCAGTGACAGACTTGCTACCCGGCTTCAACGGGGCCAGACTAAATATGTCCCAGGCTTTTCCCACAGCTGTGCTTCCTGCTGCTTTGCTGAGACCAAGCCCGGAGGGGCCGAGCCTCCCTGACTGACTGGCCTAGGATTACAGCTCTAAAGCGAACTTGTCTGTGGCTCTGGGGCTTGCCATCGGCCACTGCTCCCCATTCACGCGCTGACTCCGTCATTCAGCTGACTGCCACTGCTCCATTTGAGAGGATGGAAAAGTGTCAGACCTGTCCTCTAATGGGTAAGACAGGAACTAAGACTAAGAATAAACGGCTTATAAAGTAGTCTACTGTTGAGTGAAAATGATACCATGGAGGCTGGGCACGGTGGCTCACGCCTGCAATCCTAGCACTCTAGGAGGCCGAGGTGGAAGGATCACTTGAGGTCAGGAGTTCGAGACCAGCCTGAGCAAGAGTGAGACCCCACCTCTACTAAAAATAGAAAGAAATTAGCCGGACAACTAAAAGTCTATATAGAAAAAAATTAGCTGGGCATGGTGCCGTATGCCTGTAGTCCCAGCTAGTTTGGAGGCTGAGGAAGGAGGCTTGCTTAAGCCCAGAAGTTTGAGGTTGCTGTGAGCTAGCCTGATGCCATGGCACTCTAGCCAGGGCAACAGAGTGAGAGTCTGTCTCAAAAAAAAAATGATGTTATAGAGACTAAAGCTGTTAATGGAACTTAAGAAAGGGAGGGAAGTAGGAGGAAGAAAAGAACAGAGGGAGAAGAAAGAGAGAAGAGAAAGAGGAGAGAGGGAATGGGGGTGGGGAAGGAAATGAAAGGGCAGGGAAGAGAGAGAGAGAGAGGGGGGGGGATATACACGTGCCCGTGTGCGCGCGCACACGATCCTCTTTATGATCCTACCGAGCCACAGAATTTTTCCTTCCTGGCCATTTTCGCTCTGTTTATGACTCATTTTTCCCCCTATTGTTACCAGGGGTTTTTACAGTGCAGTTTTTCACTGACACCTGGGTTTAAATATAGCTCACATCAGTGGGACTCAAGAATTTTGCACGTAAGTTAAAAAGGGTAAGATACAGACTCACGGGGACGCCTCCGATCCATGGTCAAGGTCTAAGCAATGGTCCTATGAGCATTGTCTACAGTATTGTTAATTGCTTATTTATCAAGAGAAACTATTCCTCGGCCCACATAGTCATAGCTCAGGAGCACAGGTCAGTGACAAACTTCTATGTAAATTAACCCAAAGAAATTCTTTATATTCCTAAATCAGTTTGCACTCAGGAAAGATACCAGCTTTCCTCATCTCCTTAAAATCTTTCATGGAATCCTAATTTCTGTAGAAATCTGCATATATCTTCTTTCTCGGTTCAGCCACAGTAAACTTGCAGAGAGCTGTACCCCCCGGGGATACAACAAACGCTCCCACAACA